CCCCCCTCTCGCCCCCCCCTCTCTGCCCCCCCCCTCTATGCCCCCCCTCTCTGCCCCCCTCCCTCTCTGCCCCCCTCTCTGCCCCCCCCCCCCCCTCTATGCCCCCCCCCTCTCTGCCCCCCTCTATGCCCCCCCCCTCTGGACACGACCAGCGCCACCTCGTGGCCCCACTGACCCCTGTGACGTCACTCCGCTCGGGCTCCCGTAGACGCAGTGAGTCGATCCCCTCGCTCCACGCGGGGAAAGGAGACCCCCATAGACCCCCAATCGACCCCATAGACCCCCAATAGGACCCCCATCGACCCCAATAGACCCCCCCCCCCAACCGCCGGCCCCCCCTTTCCGCTACAAACGCAGCCTACCCCGGGCTAAGGGAGAGGCCTGGGCGACCTCGGGGGGCGCCTAGGAGGAAGCCCGCGGCCCGGGACTCAAACCCCGAACCGATCGGGGTGTTATCGATCCCCTGCTCTCATCATATTATCGATTTCGCATCGGAACCAATTGCCAGGTGGTTTGATCGCGGGGCGCGTGGGGGGGGAGTGAGTAAATTTGACCCCCAATTTTTTGGGGTGGGTTGGTGGGGGGCCCTCCTGTGTTCGTCTCGGCCTAGAGAGAGAGAGAGGAGGGGGGGGGGCTCATCGAGGATGTGATCGGCCCACCCCGTCCAGGTTTCAATCCCACTCGCGTTTGGGAGTCCGGTTCCCAATCGGGCCGACCTAAACAATCAGGCCTCTTACCCCCTGTCCAAGGCCCCCCCCCCAACCCCCTACCAATGGGCCCCCGTCGTTGCGGGGGGCCCGTGCCGCCCCCCGTGGTGGTGTTCGCGCTGTGCTGCGCGGCGGCGGGCGCCGCGTGCCTCTGCGTGGGGGAGTTCGTGCGCAGGGTGGCGGTGCGGGACCCCGACGTGGCGCAGGTGAGGACGGTGTGTGTGGGGTGTGTGTGCACGTGGCAGTGTGTGTGTGTGTACGTGTCACTGTGTGTGTGTGTGCACGTGTCACTGTGTGTGTGTGTGCACGTGTGTGTGTGTACACGTGTTACTGTGTGTGTGTGCACGTGGCAGTGTGTGTGTGTGTGCACGTGGTGTGTGTGTGTGTGTGTGCACGTGGCAGTGTGTGCACGTGGCAATGTGTGCACGTGGCAGTGTGTACACGTGGCAGTGTGTGTGTGTGTTGTGGTGTGTGTACACGTGGCAGTGTGTGTGTACGTGTCACTGTGTGTGTGTGCGCGTGGCAGTGTGTGTGTGCACGTGTCACTGTGTAGTGTGTGTACACGTGGCAGTGTGTGTGTACGTGTCACTGTGTGTGGTGTGTGCGCGTGGCAGTGGTTGTGTTGCACGTGTTACTGTGTGTGTGTGTGTACACGTGGCAGTGTGTGTGTACTGCTGCAAACGTGGCGGGTACAGTGTAGTGTGTGTACTGTACACGTGTCACTGTATGTAGTGTGTGTACTCGTGTCGCTTGTGTGTGTGTGTACTGCTGCACACGTCCCGGGTATGGTGTGGTGTGTTTAATGTACACGTGTCACTGTGTACACGTGTCAATGTGTGTGTGTGTACACGTGTCACTATTTGTGGTGTGTACACGTGTCGCTGTGTGTGTGTGTACACGTGTCACTGTGTGTGTGTACACGTGTCAATGTGTGTGTGATTGTGTGTACACGTGTCACTGTGTGTGTGCACGTGTGTGTGTGGTGTGTGTACACGTGTCACTTTGTGGTGAGTACGCGTGTCACTGTGTGTGGCGTGTGTACACGTGTCACTGTGTGTGTGGTGTGTGTGCACGTGTCACTTGTGGTGTGTACACGTGTCTGTGTACTGCTGCACACGTCGCGGTTATGGTGTGGTGTCTGTAATGTACACGTGTCAGTCACTGTGTGTTGTGTGTACACGTGTCACTGTGTGCTGTGTGTAAATGTGTCAGTGTGCGGTGTGTGTACACGTGTGAGTAGCGTGTGGGTTGTGTACAAAGTAGTGTCAAAAATGTGTAATGAGCGGCTTCCGCGACACGTCGTGTAGAGGGTACTTCTTCCTTTATTTCTCACACTGGGCACAACACAGGCCAACCTTATTCCTCTCACTCCGAGTACAACACTTAGATATTAACGTCTCTACTGGCTACACACACGGCCGGTCACTCAGCGTGGTCCCACCGCCCTCACTCGGCTACGCCGCTGGCTGACGATGGTGAGTGATGCCGGCAAGCAGCGACGCAGTCAAGACCCAAGAATCCACACGCGAACCCTGAACCCCGGGGTCCGCTCCCCCTTATATCCCCCCAGGCGTGGCTAGGCCCCGCCTCCGGCCACGCCCTCTCGTGGAACCTTCTAGCAGGTTCCCGGATCATCTCGGCCAGCCCCACATGTTACCTTGGCCCTTAACCGTGCCCATGCCCGTGCTTCCCTTTCCCAGCCAGCAGGTGTCATCATGTCATTACATATCTCCACACGTGACGTGGCGAGTGCTGTGTGTGATGTGCGTACGTCGGTGTGCATGGGACTACTTAGTGGATTTTGCTGCACAGCCGTCTGCTGCGCACGTGTACACATAGTGCACGTGTCATCACGCGCGTGCATAAAGACCCCACACGTTACCGCACGTGGTCGTATCGACTCTACATGGTACATAACACACGTGTGCAACCAATGTTGCCTATAGCAACATCGCAGGCCCAACTTTCGTCAGGCACGTGTTATAGACTGTTGCGGAGCTGCCTTGCCAGCAGTGGGAAATTCAGCCAAACCCCATTGTTGGTCTGTACTTCTATGCTCCAACGTGTGTGCTTGCCTTGACCAAGCACAGACGTGTCCAGAGTAGTGACGGGCAGCCCACACTCTAGTCGGCGGGCCTCATGAGCAGCCCTCCTCCTTCTCCTCAGTGGGCCGCAAGCTGGACATCGCTTGTGCCCTCATCATGACCCCCACACATCACCCTAGAGACGCACCGAGACCAGGTCACCAGGAGGGACTCCACAGGTCGCAGGTTGCCCACCACTGGTCCAGCGTGATCGGGTTTGGTCAAAAAATAACTTCCCGGGGACCCCGCGAGGACGTGGTGGAGACCCCCCGCCCCCACCACGTCCGTCATCGCACTGTGCATAGCCGACCGTGCTAATTGGAGGTGTGGGGCGAATGACAACAAACTAAACACAAACATCAGGAAGAAATTAGTTTCCAATCTAGATTTAAAAGTGCATAGCTCCCAGTGGCTTTCTAATATCAGAATATATCAGAATGAAGAGTGTTCCGGACGGCCGCATCTGAAAGCGGCGCGTGATGGCCAGCGAAAAGCCGCCGCTGCGAGGATGACCGGAGTCCGCGTGATGCCTTACGCTCCTTGACGTTGCCGCTTGCGTCCAGGACTGGAACTCCCTCCTGCTGCACCTGGGCGAGCTGGATCTGTGCGTACAGGAGCAGCGGTCGGATAACGACACGCGGGAGGTCACGCCGTCGCCGCCCGCCCCGGCGAGGCCGGCCCGCGCCCTGCCCACGGCGCCGGGGCCCGGGGCCGAAGGGCCCTCCTCGTCGGCCCCTCCACTTCCCCCCCGGCTGCTCGTGTCAGTGCGTGTCCTCGTGACCCTGACGCCATCGGCGGGGTCCGCGTGGGGCCGGTCGGGCGCCGTCTCTCATCTGGGCGTCTCGCTGCCGTCACAAGCGCTCCACCTCGCCGGTGAGCTAAGCGGTGGGGGGGGGGGGTTGAGCATGGTGGCCCGATGAGCGCGTCCTGAGTTCGATTCCAGAACGGGGCTAACGTCGGTGTTGAGTGACACCCACACTGACCGGCGTGGTGAAATATTGTCAAACGGCTCTTTTGAGCCGCCCTGGACGTGGGTTATCCGATGACGGAGCGTCGACTGCTGTCTCCCCCCCCCTACCCCCACAGGTCCGAGTCGGCCCGTCAACATCACCTTGTCCCTGGCGACCACGTGGGACTCGAACGACTGTCATCTCCGTGGCAACTGTCAGGCGGCGAGCTACAATGCGTGCGCGATTGTGTGGGCGGATTCAGGCGTCCTGCCCAACACCCCGTGAGTGTGGGTGCCATCATCGCTTGCTAGGGGGTAGTAGCGGTGTTGTCGAGGGGTTTTGGCTGAATTTGGTTCGGGCCGTTGCATCAGCTTGGGTGTCATCGCAGCCGTCGGGCAGTTGCGTCTCTTCGGTCGCTGCACGGCTGTCCACGTGACGCCGTGCATCGTCATCGTCCCGTCAGGAGGCCCGAGAGCTGCGACCCGGTCGACGAGGAACTCCGGCGCCTGGAGGCGACGGTAGCCGAGGGGACGGCGGATCCCGGCTGGTCCCGCAGGCCGGGAGAGATCGGGAAGCCGAGCGGCGCCGGGTGCAGGGGTTCGCCCGTCCTGAGGGTGTTCCACACGGAAGAGCCGGGACTCTCCGTGCTTCTCTCCCAGGTGCGGCCTCTGTGTGTGTGTGTGTACGCGGTGCTTAAAGAGCAGGGTTGATTGATCTACAGCCAAATGCGGACCCGCATCTTCGCACCGTACGGCCTCCTGCCAGCCACGTGATGCCTACCGATTTCAGAGCGGCCAGGAAACAAATTTAAAGGGCAGCCAGTCATAGATAGAAGAAAACAAAGAAGACAAACTTTTGAGCCTGAACTCGAACAGGAACAGGGAGTCTACGGTTCCGTATTGAAGTCTGAGTCGCTATGTAATAAGTCCGTGGGGTCCCAAGGTGGGTGTATGGGTCTCTGCGTGAGTCTGTAGCTCCCTATGTGAGGCTTTGGGTCTCTATGTAAGTCCGTGGGTCTATACAAAAAAAATGCACCCGGCCATATAAAATGTAACCTCGTTGCAAGATGCCCTCCAGACAGTGCCAGTGTTTTATAACATTCAGTCGTGGGCAGGGAGAAAGAGAAGAAGCTCTTGAGCCTGGACTTGAACAGGGCCATGGAGTCGACGGCACTGATGGCTGAATGGAAGGGTGACGCTTCCAGTCTGCGAGGTGGGGGGGGGGGGTCAGCATAATTTGTGCTGCCTGTGCTCGCCTGTGCACCCCAGGAGCGACGCTCCGAGATCGGATTGCGGTTGAGTTATTCTGCGGCCGCGATGGCCGGCAGCCTGCTGCTGGTGCTGGCGTGCGGCGCCCTGGGAGGCCGCACCCGCGGGCCGGGCCGGCCGGCCCTCACCGAGCTCAGCCCCCACAAGGTGAGGTCAATCGTCTCCCTCCCCGCCCCCCCCCCCCCCCCCCGTGTGAACGTTTCGATCTCAGCGGATGGACTGGTCTCTGTCACCGGAATGTAGAATTTACAACGCTGACTTAAACTATCTTCTTGGTTCTTTCGGTAAAGTCACGTAGAATGGAAATAATAAAATAATAAAAATAAAACATAATAAAATAATTCTCACGACGTTCCGGCCACAACGCAAGTAGCCGTCCTCAGGTGGAGAATAGGTCTGTCGAAGAGACATTTAATTATGTTTTATTTTTATTATTTTATTATTTCCATTCTACGTGACTTTACCGAAAGAACCAAGAAGATAAATCCCTGCAGTCACGAAAGCTTTAAATCGTGACTTAAACGAGCTTTGGCGGCGGCTTTCGCGACTCTCGCTGCGGTCGCATCCGCAGATGGATGGACGGATGGTGAGTGAATGGCCTGCGAGTCTCACTCTCTCTCGCTGCCTTGTCCAGTCACGTACGTTTGTGCATGCTTTGATATTTGCTCAGTATGTTGCTTTGCGACTCGCAGATGGCAGTGGGGTGGTGGTTGCCGAGCTGTTTTCTATAACGGCTCTGCCCGCTCTCCAAGCGTAGGTCACACACCTTGAAAAAAAAACATTTACTTTTTCTCAGGAAAACTTGTTTATTGTTGGTGTATTGCTCATCCTTCACGGTACTTTTTGTTCTCAACATGAATCTGCCAGCACTTGGCAATGCGCCACCAGACCCGGCTCACGCAATTATTTCATTTGATTTGCATCTCTTGTCCCCACCCCTACATCGTCCGCAGATGTCGCTCTCCGGCCAGTAAAGTAAATACGGGCGTCCGCAGAAGGTGAAGTCACCAGGCCGTAACAGCTCAGGAGGTGACGGGAGCCCACCGTCTCGTGTGAGCTATCAGCGTCTTTCTCCGCACGACGACCCACGGCTACAACCTCGTTTTCAGATGAAAAATCCGCTGTAAAAAACATTACATACAGTCTGTTCTCCTATAACGCGTGTTTTCATAACGCAAATTGGATATAACGTGATGAATGTATTCGGGAACATGTTTTTTTCATCATGCGGATGCATATCGGACGTAACGCAATTGAACATAAAACTACCGTCGTGCAAGTAGGAATAAGCGGTTGTGTAGCGCTCCTCGGCATAGCATCACACAAGGCAAGATACTGCTGGATGCTTCGAGATGCTACCCACGCGCCTCAGTCTTTGTTCAGCCTGCATACGCATCGCACTTATGTGTTGACACGAGCAGTTAGATATCACGTATCGATTAAACAGCCTCCTCCTCATCCACCCAAAAGTAATTTGATACGTTTTCACGATTCAGTTTAACGGTTTGATTCGTGAATAGAATATGTTTTGTGATCCTTATTTTATTTGTTTTTGGTTTCGGCCATGTAGTTGATGCCGAAATTCTTGTCGGTGGACCTCCACCACCCCGACAAGGCTTGTCACGTTTACCAAGAAGTAATTTTAGACGTGGCCAACGTGCCGATCATATTCTGACCAACCACAGCTTCAGAATTTTCATGACTGAATTTGCAATCAACAAAACAGTTCCCGAGCGAAACGGCATGTGTTGGCCACGAAATGTTTTAAGGCATCGGTGAGAAGCTTTACTGCTCAGCATTTGATCGATATATTGGGCAGGTGTAAAAAAACATCCCTGTCAACCCATACGGTTTAGCCATATTCTTGTACAGGGAAATTAAGTTTAAAGGTCCATTCGGCGTACAGCCGTTTCAATACGGGCAAGAACAAAAATGTGTCTATTTGTTTGTGTTTCTCCCTTGTGGAGGGACTTTATAGGATGAACGTTGAGATTTGTAAGGGCACGGGGTGACCAATAAGGTCTGAATTGGTCTGTCATAAGGTAAGCACTGATAAGGGGTTGACAGATAAGAAATAATATCTTTGCTGGAGGGTTAATGACGATACTTTTTTGCCACAAAACTACGTGACCTGACCCAAAAACAGATATGGATCGTAGTGTTGGCTGTGAAACCCTACATTTTTATATTTTACCTCGATTGTTGCCATCTCATTTGCGTTGTTTCTTAGTCTTTTCCTGTCTCGTTCCATTTTGTTTGCTCCGTTAGCCTTAACATAACGTTAGCGTTTGACACTTACGTGTGCGGCCTTATTGTCAGTCCACTGCTGGATGGAGGCTTCCCCATGCCATGCCCGTCGTGGGGATTATTTGGCCATACTTGACCACACTGCTTGGTGCAGGTTGGTGAAAACGGGGACCACAGGTACGGGAACATTGACCCACAACATAGCCCGCTCGCATTGAATTTAATTTAAATCAGCGGATTATCACATGCACAATTTGATTCCCAACGCATCGTGTCGGAATCTGTTTAATTTATGAATGCGGGCATCGGTGCTTGCCTGCTAGTGATGTTGACGACATGAGCTCGTTAGCGCCGCTGCTGTCGTGATACAAGGGCCCTGAGTCTGTCGCAAGGTCACGTGCGAGCGCATTGTTTTACTTAAAGTGTAAAAAAATAAGTTCACTAAATTAAATGAATGTTGGATGTGAAATGCCTTTATTTTATCTTCACTCAGTTATGCCCTTAACTTAAATAAATGACAATGACAGCTGTATATTTATCTTCACACCCCCCCCCCCCCCCCCCCCAAAATATATATATACAGTTCGGTCTCCAGCCCTATTGGACTTCACGAATGGCGATTCTCAACCCCAGTCCGTAACGGGCATCAACCCGAGCCCAAACTGGAATTGGAATGTTTAGAGCCGTGACTTGTAAATGTGCAATGGGAGTAAGAGTGGCACTTGAGTCATTATACTCACGCGGGGACGGCAAGACGCTCGCTCTGGAAGAGAGAGGGGGAGAGAGCGACTCTGATGCGGCGAGGGAGGAACCGCAGGCGGGCAGGAGGGGCGGCAGCAGTCACTCGGTGAGCTGGCGTCACCGATCGCCCAAGCTCTGCAGTCCACACGTGTTAAGATGTTTTCGGCAAACTCAGTGTGCTTATTTATACACCTGGGAGCAAACCAGAGCACCCGGAGAAAACGCACGCGTGCTAGGGGAGTGGGGGGGGTGTAGACAACACGATCCCATGCAGATGGAAGAGATGGAATCCCCGCATCATAGTTCGTGCGGATCGAGGCTAATTTACCAAAGCCTCACGTAGTGGAGCATTTTTTTTATTTATCGTGGCTAATTCATTGAGTAGCGGTGCCTTGCTGCCATGGACTAGCTGTTATGAAACTTGAATCGACACTTTAGGTACAGGTTAAGTTATAGCTGGATGTGACTTTCAAGTGCTCCGTGTGTTTTTGCACTACAATCTTTAGGCTAGAGTCGGTTTTATTTCGGGGTCGGCCGGGGAAACCAATGCCTCGTAATTTCTGCAATAAACGGGTTTACGGTCAAGTCCCCTTGTGTTTTTCTATCCGTCTGTGTGTGTGTCGTGGGGAGCGGTGGCACAATGGTTAGCACACTGAGCCATGAACCCGGTGACCCGAGTTAAATTTCCACATCGGTGATGAATATCTGAACCGGTTCCGGGCCTCATTTTAGGTCCACTTCAAATGGGTTCCTGGTGCGGTGTGATAACATCAGCACTGGGGAGACAAAGGCGGCTGAGGACGTGGTATTGCCTCCCTCCCCTCGTGTCGTGCCGGCTTCCATAGGTGCTCGCTAGCAGCACTTGCCCCATTGGCCGAAACGTCACCGATGACAAGCGATTCCATAATATAATTTTTTTGGGGTTAGATCTCATATAAATGTGTCTTTAACCCCCCGCATCCTGATAGTGGATTGGTAAGGTAAGGGGCCGTCCATAAATGACGTCACGCACCTAGGGGGGGGGGGGAGGAGTCGGACATTTGTGACGATGTGTGACGAGGGGGGGGGGTAGAAATGTGACGTCACATAAAAATGCGCAACTTTAAATAAATATAGACAACACGTTCTACTTAATTAGACTTTTTAATAAATGTTTTCTCCTACAACATCAGAGTGCATCGCCACATTAAATACGCACTACAATGACAATAGTTTAAAGCGATTTGAAACATGTTTTATTTTCAAAATGGAAATATGGTTTTTTGGGGGGGGAGGGGCAGAGCTTTGTGACGTCATATTTGAGGGGGGGGTTTGATTTTTCTGACGCCGTGTGACGAGGGGGGGTCAAAAATCGCGTGACGTCATTTATGGACGGCCCCTAATGACATCAACAAGAACGTGCCAGTTACTAGTTCAGCACACGCGGTGTGTTGGAGAGTAAACCGCGCAACATTTGCAAATCGAGTTTACGCTGGTCATTACAACAACACCAACAACGAGCAGCTTCACTGGGCGATTGGACACAATTGTGTGTTTAAGTCTTTCCCCCTTTCCGACTTGTGTGATGATACTTTGTCGGATGAACGTCGAGATTTATAAAGGGCACGGGGTGACCAATAAGGTCTAAGTCGGTCTGTGATAAGGGGTTGACAGCTATGGGGTTTAATGTAGCCGCACAACGCCTGCGTGTTAAACCCTCGCTCAATAAAGCCACCGACGTTTAAGGAAGTTATCGACTAACGTTATCAACTAACGCAATCGTCGACAGTCAACTCCGTCACGAGCAGAGGGCACGTGGCCAGAGAGCGACGCCGACGTTAATGGGGAACGTCGTGGACAATCGGCGGCCATATTGAGTAGGGGAAGTCGTCCCCCTCCCCCTTCCTCGGTTCGCTTGCAGAGAGCGAACGGCTGCGGCGGCTTGGTCGCGCCTTTTACTACGTCACTACTACAATTCAGGGCGGCGAGGCCATCTTACGTGGGAGGGGGGGCGAGGCCATCTTACGTGGGGGGGGGGCGAGGCCATCTTACGTGGAGGGGGGACGAGGCCATCTTACGTGGAGGGGGGGGCGAGGCCATCTTACGTGGGAGGGGGGAGGCGCGGCCATCTTACGTGGGAGGGGAGGCGCGGCCATCTTACGTGGGGGGGAGGGGGCCATCTTACGTGGGAGGGGAGGCCATCTTACGTGGGAGGGGAGGCGCGGCCATCTTACGTAGGGGGAGCGAGGCCATCTTACGTGTGGGGTGTAGACCGCCCTCCCTGCCCCCTACGTAAGATGGCCGCCGCTCTGCTTCACGGCTGATCTCAGCTCAGACGCTCGACGACAAAAATAAAAAAAGACCTCACGCCGCGTCGCCGCCCTCGCTCGCGGTGCGCGGCGTTCAACTGGCGACGTTGACGATGTCCACGCTGCTGGCGCTGGTGTCGTCTTAGCCCCAGAGGTTATCCCCCCCCCCCCCCCGAGGTTAACGCCGCGAGTTAAGACGCCGCCGAGGTGAGTGGGAGGTGAGGGGACCCCTCCAGTGCCGAGCACGACGACTTCCGCCGTGATGGGCGTCGTGTCCATGAGGCCTAGGGTCGCTGCTGCTCATGCTCGCTGTGATCGTGTGAAGCGATGATTTGTTTGACTTTGTTAATGACCGAGGCTGTACGTATGCAGGATTCCAAGGTTTCTCCGTACTTGAGGCGCCGCGGGGTCTGGCACGCCACGGGAAAGTCTTGTTTTTTTACCCTTTTATCTGGCAACAAAACTGACACTTTTTTTTACAAGGAGTCATGTTTGCATTGAACACAATACCTGCAGTCAGTTTTGTTGCCAGATAAAAGGGTAAAAAAACAATTATCATATTTTGCTACTGGCAAATGAGGTTCCAATGATGGCCTAATGTATTCAAGCCAGAAGCGGCTGAATGAATGACCTTTTCTAAATTAGTTTATTTAAATATCCAAATTCGTGTTTCCCTTCCTGTGAAGAGTAAAAACTCACCACGCACCCCACTTGCTGCTGCTGTAAGTTGCATTTGTTTGGCTGCTGCTGCTATAAATGTCCACGTGGTGACGACGATGAGCCACTAAGTTGAGCTGCTGTCATTTGTGGATAGCCAGTGTCGCTTCTGAAGAAAAGCTGTGTATCTCAGTGGGGCCTTACCTGGTAAAATAAAAGTAGTTTAGTTGTAAGTAATTTAGAAGGTGGGGTAAAGTGTGGGTTCTCCCACCTCTACCGAAGACGTCTGCCCAATGTGGAAGAGTAGGCCAATTACCCCGTCGAGGGGGCTGTGTAGATCTTCCCCGCAACCTCCGATTTGCATGGTTGGCTACGTACGGTGCGAAAGAAGTTCATACGGTACAATACAGGAGTCTATTTCCACCAGCAGTGGCATAAGCCAGCAGTTAATTGCGGGGCTGCGCCCTTAACTTTTATATGGGAATCAGAATATTTATTAATATTGTCACGGCCACTTCGCAGGCCATCGGGTTGGTCAGGAGGTTTCGCAAATCTCTACGTGAGTCACCAACCCTTGCAACACCAATCCCAACGCTGGGACCACGGGCTTGCCCCACCACGTAAAGTTTTAATCACAAACTTCACCAGTCAAATGCATTTGTGGCATCGCAGCTCTACGAGGCGGTGGTGGCGGCGTCGGAAAAGCCTAAGTTCATAATTGGATCAGACCACGGCTCACGGGGATGCTGTCACTTTGTCCGTAGTCTTGCAAATCTCTTCGCCCGTCTTAACCACTCGCGCCTTGTCTCTCCGTGTGTCTGAGCGAGCAGGGGTCGGTCGGGCTGCTCGCCGCTGCGTGAAGTGGGAGAGACTCCGCCAGGATCTCACCTGGGGTCTCCTCAAACCTCACTCTTGAGGACACCCGGCTTTTCCTGAGACCTCCAGTCTAGGATCCATTCATTCAAGGAGTCGTCTGTACTAGGACACCACTCCTTGGTCTGGTCTTTTTATCCCAACCATCGACTTTCTGGTGATCTGCTCTTTAGTGGGTCCCGTTTCTCTTTCTTTAGGTGTCCGTGCCTAGTGTGACCCGTCTCTGGTCAGATCCTTTCTTGGCATCCGTTCCTGCTGGTATCTGTCACCTTAGATCCTGCATCTCCTGGAAGCTACCTGTTGCGGGACCTGTCTCGATTCCTGAAACGCACATTCCTCCTACAACCCATCTCCCGGGGACCCATTTCCATCCTGCCACCCCTCGCATCCCAGGGGCGATCTCACCACCAGCACCACCATGTCGATGTCGCACTTGTACGGGCGCGACGAGGACGTGAATGTGGAGCGTTTCGAGGTGACCGACTGGGACTTGGAGAACGAGTTCAACCCCGAGCGCGTGCGCCACCGCCAGAGCAAGGAGGAGGCCGTGTACGGGGTCTGGGCTGAGGACGACGACGATGACGATGAGAGGCCCGGATTCTCGGGCGGGAGGAGGTGCGACGATAGGGGGGGCAGAGGGGGGGGGGGGATGGCATAGGGACCCGTGGAGCCCTCAGCAAGGGTCTCGGTGGGAGTCTTCGGGATTATATGGGGATGCAGTGGCTGTGTGTACAACGTGCACTGTGAGGTAGCCATGCAGCATCTTATTCACCTTAATCATCATCCTTAACACATTTATATCTTATCATTATCATCGTAATGACCACAGTAACATATGACTTGAAATAATCAATGACACCACCAGTGTCAACTGTGGGGAAATGGGATTGGTATCGTGCTGTATATTTGTAACGATGCATCAATTAATCGTTTAAAATCGATTCTCACACAGATGGTGCACACCTTAAATTGTACACGTGTGAGAATTAATTCAGTGTGGTGAAGTATGGTGAAAGAACCCCCATGACCGACACGTCATGGGGAGACCATCATCCGGCAGCGTATTACCCTCAAGAAAGAGAAACATTACCTCAGGGCTGCGTTCCCCAACCCTCGCCATGCCTGCTTGCGACAAGTGACGTAGTCATAAAAGACACGGGTGTTATTACGTGTTTTACTCCCGTTACTCTGATCGTCCCAATGACTTTCCTGTAATAACAGCCCAGCCTGATTTGCCAGCACGTTTTTACACCGTTTTTTGTGTGCATCGATCTCTAAAGCAAGAACCGCGACTTCACGGCCCCCGTGAGCTTCGTGAGCGGCGGAGTGAAGCGGCCCGCCGCCGAGGAAGAGGAGGATGAAGACGACGACGAGGAGGCGGCCTCGGGCAAGGGCTCCGGCGGCGAGGAGGACGGCGCCCGTCTGGGGCCCTGGAACGAGGCGCTGCAGAGGGCGAAGGGTGGGCGCGGCGCCAGGCAGGTCTGGCGACGCAACACGCGAACACGCGCGTACAATCGCACCGACGGGTCCCGCGTGGACGCACAAGACGGTGCGGGCCCGTCGGAAGCGACGAGCTCACGGGAAAATTAAAAAGTTTGAGTTGGCAAAATTGCAGTTGGCGTTGACCGTGGCCGGGAATCGAACTCGGGTCGCCGGCTTCATCATGTCAGTGTGTTTACCATTATGCCACCGCTACACTTTGATTCCTATCAATTTAATTTGGTAATGCTCTTACCTGTTTACCAATCATCAGGCAAGTGAAGTGTG